TCGAAATAGAATTGGTGGTTTATTAAAATTGAGGTAGGTATATTTGATTGTATGTCATACATGTTGACATTTGACATTTGAAGAATTTCACTATTTCCAAATTTAATTTTGCATTGTTTTACCAAATTACTTTCTGAAGATGTCACAGTATTTACAGTCGGCATGTTATTTACATGATATAAATGTATAGGACTATTTACATTTTCTAAATTTGTCAAAGATTTCGATTGATTACCTGAGGTTTTGTGCTTTTCTGAGATTTCACAACATGAAGAATTTGTACGACTGACAGACGGATGTTTACTGTTGAGATATTGATCATTTGCATTCAGTTTTGAAGACTTGCAATGTAAAAATTCTGAAGGCCTGAAATGAATAAAAATTGAAAATACTGTTTGTGATAATATTAGGCGTTCAGAAGCTTGACCGGAAACATGCAGGTAAAAAAAGTAGATTGGAAAAGAATTTTTCTTATTAAATCGATCAGCCATATATCTCAAGTTCTAATATCAAGGTTTACTGAATAGTATTTTCTAAATTCATTGATCAGATAATTTAAAACCTTCGATGTTCTTCCATGTATGAAAAGCTGTTATATCAGACCCAAAGTCAAACTTAGCTACTGACGTTTACAGCATGCCTAATAATGCATCTTCCATGTGCTTACTACCAAGCCACCCAGATATATGAAAAGGAAAGGAAAAAGTCATTTATGCTACAATCAGTACGTGACATAAAATAGAGAAAAACTTTTATTTGATTCAACTCTTTAAGTTTAGAAGTTGTAAGTAAGACAGTTTAGAACAAAGATAAAATTTTTAGGCAGAGTTTTGGAGGTTTGTGTTTTTACACATTTGAAATCATCAATCAATCATTGTTAGACCACAATTAGAAACAGGGAAGCTGTTAGGATATTCATCCAATATCCTAAGAGAATTATTGGTTGATTTCCATTGGTCAAAATTATGGTCGTTTTAACTGTCAAAGTCAAATACTTCAATGTTGTCTCTTATTGGTCAACCGGAAGATCGATGTCATTTCAAATGTTCTTCCCTATTGGTCGTCTTAACTGTTAATGCCACAGAATTCCATGCTGTTTCCTGTTCGACCAAAATGTATAAATACGCATTATCTGTAACGTTTTATGACTACGACCACGACCACGGCAAGGGGTCGTTCCCGGATCCCTAGTCCGGGATCCTGATTCTCTTCTGGATTCAGACGTCGTACTTTCTGGATGCTTGTAGAATACATGTTCTACTTCATATCAAGTCTTCTTCTTTTACTCAATGGGAGTTTGGGACAATCGGATTAGAGTGACATATCGTGTCTCCGGATCCTCGATCCTCGCTCTCGTTTTCAGACTAGGTAAACTCGTAATAGTTCAAGTATATCAAAATGACGTGTTTACGCGCAGGCGTAACAGAAGCACTGGACGGCCGCTTCGTCCTCGTATGCATGCCGGCCCAGTGGTCCGATGGTTAGGCGTTCGCGCACAATACCGAACATCTCGGATTCGAATCCTGCGGGGTGCAGGAGTCGTGGATGTGCACTGCCATCGATGAGTCCCAAACCAGGACGAAACGGCCGTCCAGTGCTTTCAGGTTTCTAATGGTGGTCTAACAATAATTGATTGATTATTTCAAATGTGTAAAGATAAAATTATGTGAGTTTAAATTTTTGAAAAAGGCTTCTTTCACATTTCACTATAGTCCATTTTACTTAATGAGTTGTTTCATAGAACGACTATTCGAAATAAACTGAAACGTTTCATTTTTATTTAAGCACTGTCATATAACTCGTAATTACCTTTTATACTTTTTTGTTATATACCGAGTTCCATCTGCACTTCGTCGGATTCTCCAAGAAGTCACTGGACTACTGCATGTTGTTCTTGGATCCAATTGATGTGGTGAATTGGTAACGCCAGGTTTCTCAGTTTGATTATCAGTTGTTGTATTGTTTTCATTCTTATTCATATTGGAGTTAGTTGGTTTGACATGATTACTATCATTATCCATATCACAGTTTATTTTTGATAATAAATTTAATTTTTCTAATAATATATTTTGTTGTAACCAAATTGTTTGTTTTAAACGATCTGGTGTTGTGTAAACCATATGAGGAAATGTTCGAGGTGATTGGATAATTTTGTTCTTTATATAAGTTTTATTGATCAATTCATTGTTTTGAGGAATGCAGATAGACTGATCACAGTCTAAATTGAACTGTAAAATGAATGAAAAAACAAACAACAACACGGGATTTGAAAATTGTGGTTAATTTTTCAATTTCCGTGTTGAATATCTGAATTACTACTTGACATAATAGGATAATCATTAGAGTTAAAAGTGTCTTACTGTTTATAATGTTTGTCAGTCAGTCAGTCAGTCAGATGCAACGTAGAACTTCGTACGTAAGTACATCAGTTCATGTTGCCATACCACATCAGCACAGAGATATAACTGTCAGTTCAAATCCAATAGTAGAAGAGGTACTGAAGGTATTAGAAGTAATCGGAGAGGTTAGGATTAGAAGATATTATTCAAGAAGTATGATTCAGTGAGAAAAGTTTAGAGAGTCGAAACTAGAGGTGTTGAAGAATCCAGAAGATTAGGATTTGAGAGAACACAAAGAATCAATGCACCGGTGCCACTGCAAACGGTTTTGAGCCATGTCATTCAGGGTATCTAACCATCGATTATTATCATCTCGCGGACCCGAATCAGGTAGTCACATTTGAATATATTACTAAAATTCACAACACTATTTCGTAGTTTGAAACAAACGGCTTATGGTTGCAATAATGAATTATCACTTGTTAAATCAAGTAGTTGGACCTGTAATATTGTCAGATATGCACTTAATTTGAAAGCATGAAAATTAATATCATCTTAATAGGTGGTTAGTCACTGTAATGTCCATAAAAAGTTTCAGTAAATATTTTCAAAATTGCTTATATCAAATAAATTACACTTTTGACAATTTTGTGACTAACTAATTTCATTGTCAACTGTCATCAGTGTACCATAGTTGAAACTTTAACCTGGGAGAAATGTCAGATTTTTTTGACTGTCTTTCTTCAACTTGAACAAAATACCTATTTTAGCATTTGAAAAAAATTATTGTATAGAATATGTTGACTAGATTGATTTTAAATAAACAAAGACATTTCTTTTTACTTTGGTTTGGTGAAGGATTCTAACTTACAATTAAAATGAACATAAACTGTGATTGTGAACTGGTTCTTCAAGTAGAACATTCCACATTCAGTAAAGAGCAATGTAAAAACTAATCATATCAAAAATACTGTACTATCGTACTGATGAAACGAGATATTATCTTCAGAAATTGAAACACTTTTTGAGTAGCTTACTCAGAGAATTTTATTACTTGTTAAATATGCAAGTTATAAGCAGAGTAGTTACTTTGGTTTAATTCTGTCCATGTAATTGGACTAATACAATTCAAGTAGCTCTGATCATTTAATTTATTGAATATAAATACTTCTAATGAGCCTCCCTGTATTTAATTTGTGTTTTTCTATGTGTATCTGCAGACTAAATAATAACTTATATTACTCATTCTGGTTTGTTTGGATGAGATTTACTTTAAAACAAGTTTGCATTACGGGGTTGTGAAGATTGTTAAGTTACACATTTAGGCCACCATTAGAAACCTGGAAGCACTGGACGGCCGGTTCGTCCTGGTATGGGACTCATCCGCAGTGAGCATCCACAACTCCTTAACAAACTTCACAACCCCGTAATGCAAACAACCTATGTTCACTAGTGACTAGCTTCATGAGGAATCTTCTCCCAGTTCTAGTGGGAAGTCGTGACCAGTGAAGTTCAACCTGTTCCGGTGTAGTCAGTAACTACCGAAGACTGTGTATGAGGTTCCGCAACTCCGTGAATTTATCAAGTTAGACATTGACACCGTTTGATACCGGCTAGGTGGTCCAGAGGTTAGGCGTTCAAGCGCAAGACTGAAGGTCTTAGGTTCGAATCCTGCGGGGTGCAGGAGTCGTGGATGTGCACTGCTGATGAGTCCCATACCAGGACGAAACGGCCGTCCCGTGCTCCCAGGTTTCTAATGGTGGTCTAGCATTGATCGATTCATGGTTTCAAAAATGTTTAAAGCAAGTGCCACTTAATAAATTAATTAAATGAATATGTGATACACTTTAATTTTTCGCTAGTTTTTCAGACCTGATAAGTTATTGATAAACAGAAACTCACAGAATAGTATTTTTTTCTCTGTTGATTTTCTATTTATCTTTGTCAAGTAAACCGACATTTGTTCGTTTTTGTTCTCTCTAACCTCATTGAATCGTAAATGTCATTTCGCTGCTTCAAACAGTCTAGTCTTGTCGACGAATCTCAAATATTGATTAGCCGTTGAGATGAATTCAAGATTTTTTTTATAGTCGATTATTTCGTAACATCTACTAGTCCGACACAAAACAATTATACACATAAATTTCATTCTAAGCTACTAAATAAAGATATTTCGACTGAACTATTTAACCAATAAACATATGACATAAGAACCGAAATTAGAATTTAAGTTTAGTTGTAATCTATGTAAATATCATAAATGCATAACTAAACTTACAACTTTGACCGGTCTCAATAACAGAAGACTGGCAGTTTTGCCAGATCGTTCCAAAAGTTCATTCGCCTGTTTCAAATTTCTAACTGATACACCATCGATTTGTATGACTTGATCGCCAGATTTAATTCCATTTCTAGAATTTTCCTGAAGAAATAAGTAGTCAGTTTGTTAGCTTCGATAATTGGAATACGTTGTTTATATTTTTATGTTTTAGATAAATATTTGTATAGTGATCTTGGGTGTCAAATTATCTGTCTGTTTTTATTATTCACGAGTTCTCAGTATACTAATTAAGTAAGTAAGTAAGTAGTAACATCTAGTAGTGTAATCCTATTATTTAAAACTCTGAGCATTCCTATTAGATTTCTGAATGCATTATTCAAATGAATTACACATTTCTTAGGATTATTGATCAAAGTAAATATTCGTATGATAGAAATGGAATCAAAGCTGAGAAGTCAGTTAGTCAGTCAGTTGCAACGTAGAACTTCGTATGTATGTACATAAGTTCATGTTGCCCTACCGCATTAGCACAGAGACGCAAATGTCAAATCAAGTCCCATAGTGATAAAGATAGTAGAGATATCAATGGTATTGAAGAAGACTAGGCTTCGGTGATATTATTCAAGAAGTATAATGCAGTGAGATAAGGTCGAGGCAGTCGGTGGTTAGGCATGGGTAACACATGTCCCAACCACCTCAACTGATGAATCTTCAATGCTTCATCTACTGATCTGCCATCCTTACCTAGTACTCGTTTCCTAACGACAGCATTGCTTACTCGGTTGTCCGACAATACTCGAGCAATGCTTCTAAGACATCTATGATTGAATACTAGTAACCTACGAACATCTACTTTTAACAGCCGTGTTTTGCATCCATATAGGAGAACGGAGTGAACTGGTGCGCAGTACACCTGTCCTTTTGGTTAGCGAACGGATATCTCGCCTATACCATTAATGACGTAAACTGGCAAAAGCAAATCAAGCTTTCTGTATCCGTGCTGAGATTTCGTCAGTCACCAGGCTATCAGCGCTGATGAGACTCCCCAAAGCTGAGAAGTCATGAAATGGACTTATTAAAAATAATTACTTCGTAAATTTCATACAGTTTCTTGAAGCATATTGTAATGTTCAGCAAATATATTTAGTTAAATTTCAGTGAACAAATATTTGGCAAATGAGATTTCACAGTTTGGATCAAGTAACAGTTTCTTTTTACTAAGCATGTATAACTGAATTAAAAACATGTAAGGCTTTCATATAATTAATATACCGACTTTTCTTTCGTATGAACGACTTCACGGAGGAGTGCAACAATCAACAAAATTATGAAAAGAAGGCTGAAAACATAGTGGCCAGTATTTTAAGTTTGTAAGCATTTACAGCTTTTGAAAATATTGTTAAATACAATTTAAGCTTTATGATTATTTCACACGAGTGTCAGAGGAAAAATTCCGAATTTGAATAAGGTCACTGAAACTTATTGCCTAGTTAAGATCAAATATTGAATAGAAATATTTTTTAATGTCATTTAGTAAAACTATGTTGAGCAGCTCAGTGAATGACGCGTTTGTCTTTTGGATCTAGTGATACTAGGCTTGAGTCCCGGTGTGGACAACAGTATTGGGATGCAGACATATACTGCTGATGAATCACAAGTAGCAATGAACGCACTGTCTACAATCTAACGTACCTAAAAACTTGAGAATACTTGGCAACATCGACGCGATCCCCTCAAGACATTTCTATAAAGACTGAATGATTCTAACCTTTGAACATCAAGAGGATAATAGCCTTTTCAATAGTATTTTTATGATAATGTAGTACCTCAAATTGTTGAATATTTCAAAATAACACTATTCTGGTATTGCATGCTGCAAAAAATGCAAAAAACTTTTCTTAACTTTACACAAGCTGTTCTAATTTTGAATGACAACAAATATTTTTTTGGATCGCATTTGATTTTCACGCTAAATGTTTAAAAAAAAACCGTTTCAGTAACTGATATAAATAACATTGCAGGTTGAATAAAAATGAAAGTGTATTTCGCCACAAAGATTCTGAAACAGAATTACGCCTCCGGTAACATGTAATCTGATTTAGAAGCAATGTTGAAGTTATCGGGCTTCGTTCAACGTTTTATCGAACTATGATCTAGCAAATGTTTGAAGAAATATAACATCGAAATCCTAAAACAACATTTTTTAAGCTGTTGATTTAAGAGATTTCTAAGTACTCTGCTTCAGAAGGATATTTATGAATAATCAACCTTGACTCACCGTTTCAACAAATACATCTTCATAATGCTGCTTACCAAAGATTTCCGGATTGCTTGATGTTAGTGTTATATTAAATTTCGAATCGGAGTTATGATCTGTACGTTGTATGTGAACAGACTACATAAAATAAAATAAAATAAAATCAGGAATCAATTCAATCAAATAACCTTTGTTTTGTAGTATAGGAATAGGTTGGAAGAAAGCTAGGGGCGGCCAAACCAAAACATGGCAGAAATCCATGAAGTCACTGACAAGTGAACTGAGTCATGTTGATAAGTGTAGGCTACCTGGTTGTGGTCCGCGAGATGATAAGTATCGATGGTTAGAGACCTTGAACATCATGGCTCAGAATCGTTTGCAATGGCACCGGTGCATTTATTCTTTGTGTTCTCTCAAATCCTAATTTTCTGGATTCTTCAACACTTCTAGTCTTGACTTTCTAACCTTATCTCACTGAATTATACTTCTTGAATAATATCTTCTAATCCTAACCTCTCCGATTACTTCTAATACCTTTACTACCTCTACTGCTATTGAATTTGAATTGACAGTTGTGTCTCTGTACTGATGTAGTATGGCAATATGAACTGATGTACTTACGTACGAAGTTCTACGTTGCATCTGACTGACTGACTGACTATCAAATAACAGAATAATAAACAATTTTATACTATATACTGAATCGATATACACTCTCACAATGATATTTTTTCTGCGTGACAGATCGCATAAATCCATGCACAGACCTTTATGGAGGCTTATGAGTGGTAGTAATGAGAAAGAGTTGCCGATAGAGTTTGTGGTACATTTTAGTGAACTATACAGTAAAAAAATCATAAAAATTATTTTCAGTAAATATTCATGAAAAGTATACAATATCCTAATTCTGTTGAAGAATCTAATTTCAAATACAGTGAGCTAGATGTTAACTCGACATCTCACACTATATCCAATTTTAATGCTCTTCTGGGAAGTTCGATGACAATGTACCAGGGTGTAAATATATGCTTTCAAGTCTGATAATTATCGAAGACTTTTAAAACAAAAATCAAACACTTATTATCATCTTCAATGGGTTTTCTACCCTTGAAGTTTAAGAAAATATTTTTTTTAAACTACGAAACTCTATATGATACTTTTAACAACATTTCATCTCTTTGAACAATCTGTTAATGTACAGCAAACGCTATTCCCAGTCGTTATTTAAAACTGTAAGTCTAAATTATTTTTTGATAGAACAGTGAGAAGACGTCACAAATCCGTTGAGCCGTATTGAAGAGGCATTTTACCAAACCTGCAGTGGACAAAAACTGTTGTCCTGTCCAGGCTGGATTTCTTATAGAAACAGCCGTCAAAACATTGTATATGAAATGTTGAAGGACGAATTTTGAGGTTTATGTAGGCCTTGGCTATGCGAAAATCAAAACCCCTCTTTTGTGTGCAGAAACAATTCGTCATAACCTTCAATTTACCCTGGTGCTCTTTAAGCTTAGGGTAATGTAACAATTTCCCTAGCCTTTCTTATTCTTTTCATATTATGTGAATTTCCTCTCTCTCCTTTATTTACAATTATCATCACCTTATGTCTATTTGAACTTTTATTTAATTGACCTTTAATTAATCTTCATATAAAATGCCTTGACAAGTGCAAATATGTGTGCCTAGATTGTGTCAAAATGTGTATAGCGCAAATACATCACATTTTTCAGATCAATTACGTCTTCTCACTGTTGTATCAAAATTTATAAAAGGGTCTAATTGTTTTAAATTTCTGAGAAGTCTAAATTATGATTCAAAAATACATTTGATTTAGGTTATGAATATATATTATAACGAAATATATAAAATAGATTCGGTCTATTTGATCTTCTGTATGTTAATTTAAATAAATAATAGAACTAGTGTATACACATGTAATAAACTAGACTTTGATTAAATAGCATTAACCATTAGACATGTTTTCAACTTTATTTCAAATGATACCTATGAATCACTAATGTGTCCTGAATCAGAAGGAAATGGTCTTACAATGCTCTCTAAAATTTAGCGACTTGTTGATTAATAACAAAATTTTTTATCTACAAATTAAACGAACCAATAAAAAGCGCTTTTAACAAAAACACAATTGATATAATTATTAGAAAATGCTTCGATTCCTCCATTTCGATGTTCAAGATTAAATTTTGATGTCTTCATTAGCTTGTGAGAATTACGTTCTGTTTAGGTTTCAATGTAAACATGAAGACAGAAACTGGTTAAAAATCCCGTAAAGCAGCAGATGTGCATTATTAGATTATACTGCTCATCCATAACTGTAGCTACAAACTCAGGTTTGGATTGAGGAATAACTGTCCAGGTAGTTTAGATACGTGTCTTGCCAAGGTTAAATCCAAAACAAGTGATTTGGGTAAATAACGGTTCTAATTTTCATCTTAAATATAAATATACATTATTACCTAAACAATTATCACTCAGTTATTCGACCAAAAATTGTTCAATTGATCGAATCCATAACAACGGATAACTGATATTCTATGCCTCCTGGATAGATCAGATTCGTTCGACAGATAATATTTGATTGCTTTATAACACAGAGTGTTTCCTATTCTGCAAGATTGCTTCAATTCATAATCAAAATGCACAATTCCAGTCAAAGCAAGCAACACAATCAAAAGAGGAACAAATCAAATATGGCTGTCGCCATGACTAAGTATCAGCTTAAACAACATAGTTCAGTTCAGAAAGAAACATAGAAACTCAGTGAAGGCAAAAGAAATAGAAACTATAATAAATTACAAATATTATCATCTCAAAATGGAATCGAAGAGAAGAGACTAAGAAAATATACAACTGAAGGAAATAATAAGGACAAATTACAAATGTATACATGGAGGGATTTTCATAAACAAAGTCTTCAAAAATGGATCTTACGATAACGTATTACAATAACGTAATAATAATCATAAAACATGAAGTATTCCAATTAGGGATATCATTTATGATTACTTATATCCTATTTTTTCTATTTTCTTTGGTTATTATTATCATTAAACAATTTTCTTATCATATTTCTTTTAATTTATTTATTTTAAATTTCAACAAAGTTATTGCTTTACAATGAAAAATTAAATGTTTCACAAAATATACTATTCAGCCGTTCGTGAAATAGGCCATAATAGTATAAATTTGCTGAGCTATCATGTATGACATCGATTCAAGAGAACTTTGTATTTAAATGAAGTACCATTTTGTTCCTAATCCTGATCTTCCTACAGGATGGGCGAAAATGTCGTTTGTATCCATCTTTGATTACTCGTTCTTTTTTTTCTCGCAAAATCAGACAGATGGTAAACTGTTTCATGTAGAAAATGGTATTAATTAACTTGTTTAAATGTTTAACCTCATGTTTTTGATATAAATAGCTTCTTTCAAGTCTTTGGTGTTTTTGCTTATTAAAATTTTTATATTTAAAACTGAGAGAGACTATGGTTAACAAATGAAAACTATGGAATTCTTGCTAACAACATGATTATTATCACAAATGTAAATAAATATAAATATTTCTGTTAAAAGTGTAAAAACGATGGGTTGCAGAAAAAAAATCTGGAAATAAACGATTGATTTGTAAGTGTGCAGTGCCTCCGCATACATTTGAGTTCGCTTATATATAATTTGGTTAAACCTTTCGATTAACTTCGGTATAGCAACAACTTATCTGTACAATTGGCTTTTGCTATTGTCTGGTTTGTATGAGCTGGTATGCCTGAACATTGCTTACCGTATTCGCGCATATTCATCGTATTTGCTTTAATATTAGGCTCTCAAATATTTCGATGACATAGAAATTTTACTATGTAAATATATCTTATCGATTCATTAGCCAATTCGCTCGCTAGCGTGCTTACCCTTCTCTGTGTGCTTGTGGTCAGCTGGTCCATTTGTAGTGTGTCAAGATAAACGTATTAAACACTTCATGCTCACCTTCTAATTTATAAACCGTCAGGCGATATTTAGTAACGACTGTCGGAATGAGCAAATTACGATGTCTAAGGGCACGTTGGGTACCGACCGTTACACGAAACTAGTGATATATTGGCCACTATAAGTGAAGTTATTGATTTTTTCCTACCGAATGAATGGAATATTTCACTAGAGCAATATATTCTATTCCTAATTTAGTTGTACTTACGTTCTTACTCTTGCTTACATTCTAACTAATAACTGATGAATTATTTCGATACATTGATATCCATTACATAACTTGATTTTGTAGATTAACTTGGAAAAGTGTTATCTTAAGTTTCAATCATATGCATCTAGGAACATAAGTGAAAAAGGGTAATTTTACTAACCGGTGACATGTTACAAGAAAATTTAGTCTGAACTTTATATGTTGTTCTAATAAGCATAGATGTATCAGTTAGCGGCAATTCATACGATATTAATCATAATTTCAAACTTAGAAAACGTACATAAATTATTTTATGAAATTCGCTAAGGTGATTTCTTGATTTTACTATACAATTTGAATATATGCTAAAATCCCGATCATTAGACATCATTTCAGAATCTATGAAGTGAAATTACATGAAACAGGCCTGTTCATAAGTAGAATGAAAACTATTGTCTTCAAAGTAAATTTCATTGTCAAAATTGAATGATGGTACAATATTATGATTATAAACAGATTGCAACATTTCCAGCGGAGGAAATCAGGAAGAAGCAGTGGAAGTGGATAGGACACACACTGCGAAAAGCACCTAACTGCATCACAAGACAACCCCTTACATGGAACCCTCAAGGTCAAAAGAAAAGTGGAAGGCCAAGGAACACATTACGCCGAAAAATATAGAGAGACATGAGAAAAATGAACGAAAACTGGAAAGAACTGGAAAGGGAAGCCCAGGACAGAGTTGGTTGGAGAAAACTGGTCGGCGGCCTACGCTCATTTGTGGGTAACAGGCGTAAGCAAGTAAGTAAGTGCAACATTTTCATTGTTAAAATAGGAACGACTTTGTAAATCAAGAGAGCTTGATCTCAGTAAAACATGAGTAAAAGGAAACATCAATAGATTTTACAATCTCACATGCATGCCGACCGATTGTATGCAGTACCAA